CCCCCCCGCGGCCTTCCAAACGCATACCCATTCCATTGAAAATGCATCAGAGAGAATATTTCATTACTTGATTATCTTCCCCTTTAAGAACATGAGTCGAATATAAATCCTGGTGTGATCGGAAGTTCATAAATTGATAAGCTTGACATAATCACTAATCAGTAACAAAATAATTATTAAAAATTCTTTAATTATGTACTTCTTCAAGAACGTCATTATTTTTCATAAGTTCCTTATTTCTTTGCAAAGTGGTTTTAAAAAATCTAAGATAAAATATTTATCTAATTTACGAAACGTATTAATAAAATCTTTACAGAATTAAGATGGGTTGCCATATTGAACTTCTGTATTTAGATTGTATTGTATTGTTTAAATGCACTAATTTAACTAAAACCTATAATTTATTCATTAAATGTCTGCTTCACTTGCAGTACGAATTCCTAAGAATAGTTTTCTGTTCAATGAGATAAAACAACTTCCATATTGTTTCAACGACAAAACTTTTCTATCACAAATCTATTTTTGATTGTTTAATAATAAATCCCAAGTTTTCCTTTAAATATATTCTCGTTTTGGTATTTTTATTCTCTTATTTTCTTCTCTATTAAAATCTCATATGTACATTTTCCATCTTTAATATTGTCAAAGTTATTAAAGTAAATCATCAAATTTTTCTCTCATTTCATTTTCTAGAATAAAGGTGGGTGATCCTATCCATTTTTCACATATGCATTATGCAACAATAACAATACCAAAAACAATGACAACAATAACAACAACAACGACATATGACACTCTTCTAGTTAAAGTCGAGAGTAACCCTGATTCTTTACCTTAGCTGAAGCATCGCATGCTCCTGATACGAAAGTTCTATGATCCGGAGAGAGAGATAGTGACATAACATCTCCAGTATGACCGTTGTACACAGCCATCTGCTGTCCTGTCTCAACCTAGAAACAGTACACTGTACAGTTTACAATATATGTACCATAACTTCAGTTAATATTAATACCAATTCTTCAGCATCAATACTCAACATATAAGTAACTAAATTTTGTAAATATAATTTTGTTTATGAATTACTCAAATTAAGAATTCTATAATTGAAATCAATTAAGTTGAAGATATTAACGTTATTAAGGTGTTTAATTTTGATAATTTTTATATATTTTCAAAATCATAAACATTAATATATAATTTCTACTTGATCAGACAAAGCTTTATTAAAAAATCATAGAACTTCTAATTACAGTTCATCCTAAAACTAATTTCATAAACATCCTCCTCAAGCTAGAAAAAACTGTGGAAAAAACTGTTGGTTTATATCTGATAAGATTTGGTTTATATCTGATAAGATTTGGTTTATATCTGATAAGATTTGGATACTTACGTCCCAGAGCGCGCAGGTCATATCTCCGCTGGAGGTAACTATCTGATTATCATCGATAAATCGGCAACAAGACAGGTACCTAAAAATATTAAACATTGTAAAAATTTAAAATGAAATTTTAACCTGACAAATTAAAGTAAATGAATGATAAAAGAGCAATTACTCTCTTAAGAATAAGAGGAGTGTATACTGTATGCACTATAATAATTCAAATAATCAGTACTCACAGCCAACCTTCAATCCGTGGAAATCTGAATTGATTTATTATAGTAACCAGAAAGTCAAGATTGTTGAAAAAATAGGATTGGGGGGTTGGGGGGAGTGTGTGTGTGTGTGTGAGTGTGGGGAGGGGGGTAACAAATACTAATTTAATCGACGTTCAAAAGGTAAAATGTGATAAAATCCTAATTCTTTTGAAGATTAAAAATAATATAATATTAAAAAGAATTCAAGGTTGAAATAAAAATTCACCCATTTCTATCTTTTAATCGAAAGCATAAAACTTCATCGTTATATACATGGATAAACTATTAAGGATATATTGTTCACACGTACCGGGATTCTGACAAGACGGTTTGAAGATGCTTAACGTAAAAATGCACAATGAGTTCACTGAGACTAAGTTCTAGTCACGTTCACCCCACTGACACAATATAGATAAATGTTATGCAGACAAAAATATATCAAAAAATATCTTTCTATAATTAAATGATAATCTAAAAATATACAGCTGTCAAACTAGTTAATCCCGTCTGTATACTTGATCTATTTCCGAAGAACCTGGTTAATACCCCCCCCCGTGTTGCTTTTAAGATACCTACCCAGTGTGTCCTGGGAGCTCCCTTGAGACCCTAACGTTCCCCTCCCTGGTCTTCAAACTGTATATACTACACACATTGTCTAAGCCTCCACAAGCTACATACGCACCAGAAGGAGCATATGCGCAGGTCATAACCCAAGAGCTACGCAGAGGTATGGCGTGCACCTAAAATATTGTAAAAATCATATTAATTCCGCACTTCCGGTAAACTTGTAATAATTAATTATTATTCGTAACCCAAAAAATTCATACAATTTTCAGAAGCCATATTTGCCAAGTTTCGACATTTTTATGCCATATTTATATTAATGAAAAAGTAGGATTGATGATGTCTTAAAATTATCTACAAATCTAAACAGCGACAAGTCATGGATTAGGACTAATTTAGTATGCTAAAAGCTATAAGGGCATTAGTTTATGCAGATTAAAAGTACCAATGTTCATTACAGAAAAAAGCAGCTAGAAATCTTCGTCTTGATTCGAAAAAAGCACAAAAAAATATTTGGGATAGACCAACCTTATTGAAATAAAATGAAACATTTACCTTATTTGTGCTGTAACTATCCCAGACAATCAGTTTTCCATCCTGACTAGCGCTCACCAGGTTCCTACTCAAGAAACAGCTCTAAAGCCCAGGTTTCTCACAATATTCAAGGACAAATTTACAATTCAAAATAAATTAATCTTTGGCCGACGTTTTCTTACAGTTGTAATTTTGAAGTGACTCTCCATTTAAACAGTGGTATGTCTGATTCACAACGGTAACTTTAAAAGATTTGTCTAACATGATATATCCATCATTGTTTATTGTCGAAATGGCACTTTTAATGGAGTTTCAGGGGACAAAAATAAGCCAAGTACAAGAGCTTGCACTTTGGGCAGTCTAATTCAGGTTTCCCCCAAAGATTACTGAGCAAGAGAGGCAATAATAATTTTTTTATAATTTCAAAGTGTAAAAACATCTATTAACTAAGTAAAATGACGTTTAAGTGAAAACATAAAAATCGCATCGAAATAAAAACTAAATAAAATGCTTTGGATAACACAAGAAGAATTCTATAAAAATTATTTTAAGTTAAAGAATTTACCAGTTTGTTGAATAGTGTTCTTGTTTTATCCGTGCGATGGATTTACAATATCAAATCATGAAAATATTTAAGCTATTAAACTTTATTGAGATAACAGCATTGTAAATCCTTCACAATAAAAAACTAAAATAAAAAACTAAAAAAACCTCGAATCCGAAGCCCAATGCATTGCGTATATTTTTGCCAGATGTCCTCTGAGTGTTCGTCGTGTACGCATAACAATGCGTCCGACTTGGTTCATGGACTGCGTACGCTCTGTAAGCGACGCATCGTTAACAGCGTTACGTCGTTCCTGAACAGAAGAAAAATAAATAAAGGTACAGGATTTCACGATACCTTGTGTCTGAGCTCCACATCAACGCATAGATTTTACTCAAATGTCCACGCAGAGTCTTTCTGTTCATGCGGGGACAATGGAAAAATTGATTTCATACTTCTATTATGGGGGGGGGGGGGATGTAAATGTCTTTGAGATTTCATTACTTAAAAAGAAACATTTTTATGAGAGGGGGGGGGGGCGGAGTTAAGGTATTTTTAAAAAAGTCCCGCTTCCCTAGCTCGCATTTGAATCCTGCCAATAGGTTCCATAGATCCAGCATACTGGGCCAGGTTAGTATCACAAGCAGCTTTCCTTCCCTCCTGGTTAGTTTTATATAGAGGTTAGTATCCTTGCTTGGCTTCTAGTATCCTTGCCTGCCTTCTTGTATCCTTCCCGTCCTTTTAATATCCTTCCTACCTATCTAGTATTCTTCTTACATTTCTAGTATCCTTTCTGTAATTCTAGTATCCTTTCTGTAATTCTAGTATCCTTTCTGTAATTCTAGTATCCTTACTGTCCTGTTAGAATCCTTCCCTACTTTATAGTAACCTTCCTATCCTTCTAGTATCCTTTTTATTCTTCTAGTATGCTTACTATACTTCTAATATCCTCCCTATAATTCTAGTATCCTCCCTATACTTCTAGTATCCTCTCTATACTTCTGTATCCTCCCTTTACTTCTAGTATCCTCCCATCCTTCTAGCATCTTTCATATCCTTCTAGTTTCCTTTCCTGCCTTCTAGTACTCTTCCAGGCCTTATAGTACCCTTCCTGTCTTTCTAAAATCAATCCTACACTACTAGCAACCTTGCTATCTTTCTAGTATCCTTCTATTATCATTAATATCTTTCTTGTATCCTTACTATCTTTCTAGTATCCTTCCTATCTTTCTAGTATCCTTCATATCCTTCTAATATCCTTCCTATACTTAAAGTATCCTTGCCTGCTTTCTAATATCCTTCCCTGCGTTCTAGTATCCTTTCTTGACTTCTAATATCCTTGCCTGCCTTCTAGTAACCTTGCCTGCCTTCTAGTATCCTTGCCTATCTTTTAGCATCCTTCCTATCCTTCTAGTATCCTTGCTACCTTCTAGTATCCTTACTATCTTCTAGTATCCTTCCTATACTTCTAGTATCCTTGCTACCTCCTAGTATCCTTGCTACCTTCTAGTATCCTTGCTACCTTCTGGTATCCTTACTACCTTTTAGTATGCTTGCTACCTTCTAGTATCCTTACTACCTTCTAGTATCCTTACTACCTTCTAGTATCCTTTCTATCCTTCTAGTATTCTTCTTGATTTTCCTTTTGTTCTAGAATTTTTCCTATCATATGTATCCAATTTTAAAGTTGCCCTAAAATCATTAAAATTTAAATTTGTATATTTTCCATTGTTGCCGAGGGCAAAGAAGAAACGAATTAACATAAGGTCTGGAGAAGAAACCCTCGAAAAGATAATGAATAGAAACATGATGAACAGATATGAATATAGAACAGACAACCTAGTATTTTATAATCGATTGGATTATTAATCTAAACCTTATATTTGAAATTAATCTGCAGATTCCTATTTCCAGACCACACAAGGATACAACATAAATATAAACACAGCTTTTAACATAAACATAACACACTAGAAAAGCAGAAAATGTAAATAAGACAGCACGGAATACATGAACATTGAACAAAAAATCCCACAGTTTCTTGCAAAGGTATTTATTTTACGTTCATTACACCTGTTCCTAGTGTGTTATGGTACCAGTATAAACCCTAGATTTAGATCAAATTAGATAATAATAGAACAAGAAAATAGTGGATCCCGCAGAAATAGATATATTTATATATAAAACAACGTTTTTAATACTTGTGAGATTGTTAATGAATAATAAAGTAGAATCCAATAACCTGTATATACCCCTCCCCCCTGTTTGTAATGAATTGGATGTCTATAAGATAAGATAACAGCATGCATATTACACATACTACAGAACTCTCATTTACACGATTAGATTTAGACAGGGGTTATTGCAATGCTCTTAAAAATATCATAACAACAAAGTATTAAAAATCAAAATTCAATCTGATCAAAAAAATTCTTCATTAAAGATATGACAATTAATTTTATAATTCTGCTTTTGAGCATTTTCACACCCCTCTTCATAAATCCTCGATGGGTGGTTTCAATACCTTTCTTGTGGTTCATCATCTAACCACCATATATCATAGGTTGAATACAGGGTCACGTGATACAAAACTCAGTATTTCAATTGGTTAAATGAGATCACGTGTTCACATCCTGGCCTGTGGTTGGTTTAAACTAGAGTTTAATTAGATGTTAATGAATGGAAGTTGATGATTTAGAAATTAGATATGCGTAGGATAGATATCCATTCCAAAAAGGATATATTCTACTCTTAGAGTAGATATCTATTCCAGGCATGATACATGCTACTCGTAGGATATATAACCATCCTGGGCGGCGGGCATCATGATGACGCGTAGGATATATATCCAATCTAAGCATGGTAGTTACTACTCGTAGGATAGATATCCAATCCAAGCATGGTATATACTGCTCGTGGGATATATATCCAATCCAAGCATGGTATATACTACTCGTAGGATAGATATCCAATCCAAGCATGGTATATACTACTCGTAGGATATATATCCAATCCAAGCATGGTTACACATACTACTCGTAGGATATATATCTATTCCAGTCATGATATACTACTCGTAGGATATATATCTATTCCAGACATGATTTATACTAATCCTACCTACTCAACTATACTATTCTTACCTACTCAACCATATTAATCCTACCTACCCAACTAAATTAATCCTACCTACTCAACTATATTAATCCTACCTACCCAACTATACTAATCCTACCTAATCAACTATACTAATCCTACCTATTCAATTTTACTAATCCTACCTACTCAACTATATTAATCCTACCTACCCAACTATATTAATCCTACCTACCCAACTATATTAATCCTACCTACCCAACTATACTAATCCTACCTACTCAACTATATTAATCCTACCTACCCAACTATATTAATCCTACCTACCCAACTATACTAATCCTACCTACCCAACTATACTAATCCTACCTACCCAAATATACTAATCCTACCTACTCAACTATACTAATCCTACCTACTCAACTATACTAATCCTACCTACCCAACTATACTAATCCGACATACTCAACTATACTAATCAATTATACTAATCCTACCTACTCAATTATACTAATCCTACCTACTCAACTACACTAATCCTACCTACTCAATTATACTAATCCTACCTACTCAACTATACTAATCCTACCTACTTAACTATACTAATCCTACCTACTCAACTATACTAATACGACCTACTCAACAATACTAATCCTACCTACTCAATTATACTAATCCTACCTATTTAATTATACTAATCCTACCTACTCAACTATACTAATGCTACCTACTCAATTATACTAATCCTACCTACTCAACTATACTAATCCTACCTACTCAAATATACTAATCCTACCTACTCAATTATACTAATCCTACCTACTTGACAATAATAATCCTACCTACTAAACTATATTAAGGGGCCTGGGGTTGAAATACAGAAAATGATCAATTTAATATATTTTAAGAATATATGCGTAGTGAATGTAAATTGAGAATTTAATTTGTAAATCAGATAAAGGATAATTCAATAATTTAAAATAATTCAGGATAATAGGATAATAGGTTTACTTTAATGAATTAATGATAGAAGAGGGAAGAGTGGAATTTTAAAGTGTTTCAAAAAATACAGACAAAAAAGAGCATTAATAATAAATAAGTAAATAAGTAATAATAAGTAAGGAAGCCGAAAAATAAATAAGACAGTAAAGAAGATGAAAAACAAAGGAAGGAAAGGAAAGAAGAATTATGAAGGTTGTATGTNGGTATATTAAGCTTGATGATCTACAGATCAATAGGGTCAAATTTCCAACCTCCAGGGCTAAACATAATCATCAATAAATGTAATGAGTTTAATATAAACCGATTACAAAGTATAATAACTTAATTATCTAGATGTTTTACGAGGTTTTATAAAATATACAAATATCAGATGGGTTGGCAATCTCAAGTATTCCATGACACACCTACAAGGACAAACCACGAGAGAGATGGAAATATATTGAAAAATGAGAACAAATCTTAATTTATTATTCAAAGATGAGTTGTATACTTTGCAAAACAGACTGACATACGCATACATTTTCGCGTACGCAAATTATTTTGCGTTGATGGTTGGCAGAGAAGCAGATATTTTGCAGATCATTCATGAGCTGTCCTAAACTATAGACTGGGGACGGTTCAAGGAGTGGGCGGTTCACATTTGGAAGACAAGAGATATAATTATTTAGGGAGAGGGGGAGGTGTCAAACTAGGAACAAGAGAACGAATAGGAATAGATATAACAAAAAGGATATTTAAGAAAAAGAAAACTAGAAATTGAAGGGAACCTCAACTAAAATTAGAGGGTTCTGGGCATTGAAATAAGACAAAGTAAATTGCCATATTTGTAGGTCAGTTCAATTTAAATCCGAAATCTTACAAAATTGAGGAATTTGAGTATGGAGATTTCAACACCGTCTGTTACTAAACGCAAAAACATTGATTGTTTAAAAATGTTCGTTTTAGTCGCGTCTTCCTTACCGTTCTTTCCTTTCATTTATTATTGGCTAAACCTTTTCATTTTAAGGTTGATATCATAAATAAACATGATATTCAGTTGCACTAACTATATTTTACACGAAACCAAAGTGAAGACAAAATATTCGTTGGATTAGTGGTAATATGTTTTCTCTTGAAAATCGTATCCCCTCCTTCCAGTTTTAATCGATTTGCCTCTTACTGTGCAAAAATAAATTGAGAGGTTGGTATCATTGAATTGTGTGATATAAACGGATTTTTGGGTAAAAAGTAACTAAAAAGAAAGAGAGAAAGTCTTAGAAAGTCATTTTCCTTGGGAGAGGGGATTTTTCAAAATAATTTCCTTGGGAATAAAACTTATTTTTTTTTAAAAACAAATAATTACTGACCTTGATGGCACTCTTGAGCTGCTCCGTCTCCTGCCTCAATAACTCCGTCTCGTTCATCGTAAAACTAAAAAATAAGAATAATGAAAATATATTTCATCTCATCTGTTTTAACCCCCCTGAGTGAACTGCTCCAGAAAAATTACCGCACAATTTCCGGGTTGACAAAAGCCATAAGAAATCTCTTTACAAGGGTTTATATTAATCAGAATCTTAACCCTCTTGATTAAAGGCGAATGAAGCTAAAAGCAGACATAAAATTCACCAACATTTTCTCTGTTCTTTCTCATAATTTGAGATTTTGACGCATGATATTGCAAAAAATCCCAACAAAAGTTCATACTTTGATCGTTACATTAAAAGGGTAAATATTTAAATTTATTAGAGCAAAATGAAAAGATACATATTACCCTTAATTTTTCTTCACAACGTAAATGTATATGAACTTAAAGGGAGTGTTCACGAAAAATGAAAGGGGGTATATGAAAAATATTCGTTTGTGATCGCTACTATAGTTGATATTTTATAATATTTTTCATTTGTTTTGAAGGATGCTTTTTAAACGACGATTACTTGGCTGCCAGGTGTCTTTGCTCTCGATGTTTCTGTGGTTCCATGTGAGAGACACCTGGCGGACAAAAAAGTCGTCGTTTTACGTGCATTGAATGTACATCATTTCGGATAGTTTATGGCTCTGAATTGCGATTTTCAGGATTATCAGAAAGTATTATTTTAAAAGAATTAATAAATTTTCAAAATTGTATAGGCCTACCTAATCTATATAAAAGTTTGCATTCAGAAAACACTAGGTTTTAGGATGGCAAATTTTTTTGATTTATCATAAAAATATGGGCAAAATAATCTAGAATTGCCCCCAATTATTAAATAAACTAGAAATTCAAGGCGCTTCGCGCCCTTCTTTCTAGCCTTAAAGGGCGCTTCGCGCCCATCTTCTAAATTAGTTGTGAACATGTTCTCTTTGTGTACATCGTAAAACTAAACAAAAATAATTCGCGGATTTTCAAAATTTTTAAAAAAAGAGACAAATATTTGAAATTTTGATTTTTCATAAACATTCCCTGGGGTCCTTAGATGTCCCACAAAAAATTTGGGCCCGATCGGTTCAGCCGTTTTGACGTTTATTGGATACAAACAAACAAACAAACAGACAAACAAACAGACAAACAAACAGACAGACAAGCCAAATTTATATATAGATGAATTTCGAAGCTAAATATATTCCCCACAGTATGAATGTGTCGTTTCTAATTGTAATTTGACATGAATTTGAAAAAAACCCAAAAATTTAATAAGTATTTTAAGAAAACTGATTGATTTCTGCGCTCTTTAGGTAAACTTTGTTTATAAATCAAGTGAAATGTAAACAGACAACTATAAACTGCTAAAGTATACACAATTTACAAAATTACAGGGCAGCTAAAAACCCCAGAACTATGTATATTATCAGCCATATTCCTCATATTATAATCATATTTTAACAGGTGATATTNTCCAATAGTTTTCAACACGAAAACTATGCGTTTTTTAAAACATTATTTCAGGGATATGTTAGAACACTTTCTGGGCCGATCGCTGTGGCTAGGTCAGACTAAGGAGCTGACAGGGGTGTTTATTTTCTCGAAAAATCATTTCCACCCTTCATATATCTTTTCCCCCACAAGTTGTTTGCCCGGAGCGGATATAAATGAATTTTAGGGAAGTATCAAGAAGAATGAAAAATATACACCCCTGACCATTGCTCTGAATTATCCGCGCATTAATAGAAATTAACAGTAGAAAATTATGTAACATTCATAATAAAAGAAAATAAAGAAAGAACCCTTTTACTTATCTTTCGATTACTAAGGGTGGGGGTTAGATTTTGCTTCTCTGAGTAGTTTAAGAGTATGACATCATTTTAAATGCATGTGCATGATTAGGCATGAGCTTACATCAAGCTGAGAATGTGAGTAAGTATTGTTTACAGCAAAATCTTTCATATTCAAGCATAATCATACGCAAATCCTTCCTTTTAACTCGATTGAATTTCTTTTAAAAACAAAATAGAAAAAATATTTTACACAAATCTAGAAATAGTCTCAGGTAAGATTCTGTGATGTCATTTGTATTCTCAGGGCTACAACTCTATTTTAGAGAAGGTTCAAGCCTTAATTGATCTAATTTTTTGCCAAACTGTGGCTTTAGCGAAGAAGAAAATATAATCTAAAATGATTTCAACCTGCAGGGATATATTATGTTCGTTAATTTTAGATGCTCGTGTTGAATATTTATGTTAAAGACAAGCATTGATAGGATTTACAATATCATCAAACACAAACTTTAAAACCAATCTAACGAATCTAACAGACGAAATCTATCTTAATCTGAACAACAATATGTGAACTAAAAGAATGTCTAAAAAAGTTTAGTTAGGTGTTTCTAGCACTATTTTAAAAGCGAAAGGGATTTCAGTCCCTGCACAATGTAAATTTAAACCTAAAACTATGCAACCATCTCGGACCAGTAGACTAAAACTTAGTTACATCGTATAGGATCTTAGGTATATTCCTAGTATACGATTTTTGGACAATTCCAACTTTAATAGTTTGATATCTAATTTAAAATGTTTAATATTGCAGCATTGCTTACCTATTTATAAACTAACTCGGCTAGACTAATCACAATAAAATATCTAAATTCTTATTACATCTCATAAACAGGGGAAACGAAACTTCATATTTTTCTGAAAAATAAACATCGTTTTCAGTGACACGAATTATTTCTGTAAAAACATAATTCACTGACAATTACATCACTATATTATTAAACGAGAATCAGCATTTACAGCTCTGTTGAAGCAAGCACTCGAATAAAGGAGAAAATTGTTAACAATTAATTAATATTCAAGTAAATCTTAGTATAAATTTCACTTTTCCAACTGATGAATTCAAGATGGCTGAAACTGTACTGAGGAATCAATACCGCCGTATAGCGGCCCACACATACACACACTCAACTCTGCAGACCTACATACTGATAAGGATTAAGATTTGGACCCAGCAAGCCGACAGGTCGTCTTTTATAATATTTCAAAGAAAAGTGGGTGGATCCGCATTAGAACTACTGCAGTTTGAACTATCGATCATTTGAACATGCATTGACCGTTTCTTTGAACTTTTGATCATTTTAACTACTGATAATGACGCCATTTCCTGTATTTCATTCAACACATATATTTCCATTTCTCCTTGAACTATTTATTTTCAAATATATGCGCAGTATAAAAATTTTTAAATTTCAAATTGTATGTCCTGAGATGGAATTTAAAGAATTTGAGCCGCGGTTTAAATCCGCCAAAACCAGGTTTAAATTTAGCGCCGGCTTAAATCTTGAAACATTTGATACAATTTTCAGTGGAACCAACCATATTTGAACCGCGGTTTAAATTTAACGCCGCTCAAATTCTTTAAATTCGGCCATTGGTCAAACAAGCGATTGTTCGACCAAGACATACAATTTGAATTTTAAAAACTATTTATACTGATGATGATTATCATAAAATAGTTTAAATGATCCAAAAAATATTTCACATAGACATAAATTAGTTCAAATAAAGCAACTAAATGAACAAAAAAATAGTAATTATGAAATTGTAGTCCGAATGAACTAAATATATATAGCTCAATTTGAACTTAATTTTTGAAAATACTCGACATAAAAATAGTTAAAATGAGCAAAAATATATTTTAATAAATTTTGATGCAACCTTAACATTTGAAGGTTAGGAATTAAGTTACAATTTCTGCAGCCGAATGCCGTATAGCTAAGAGTAGGGCAATTTTTCATCCGAGTCCATCAAATGTTGTCATTTCGGGCCTTCAATCATGGGTAAAAATTAAGTTAAATTTCAAACCCTTTATATTCCCGATTATATTTATAGATCTTGTTGAGATTGGGGAATGTGATACATTCTCGAGCAACTCTTAAATTTTCAGACATAGCACTTAAAAAAAGTTCAACTATAATATCTTAAATAATTCGAGTATAAAATTTAAAAAAGTACGTGGGAACAATGTTGAATACGTTTTTATTTAATTGATGAAACATGTTACCACATACATTTTTTCAAAATTAATGGAACATGACATGTTCCTACATGCATTTTTTAAAAATTAATGGAACATGTTCCTACATACATTTTTAAAAAATTAATGGAACATGTTCCTACATACGATCACTTTAATGAATAAAACATGTTCCTACATACATTTTTAAAAAATTAATGGAACATGTTCCTACATCCGATCACTTTAATGAATAAAACATGTTCCTACATACATTTTTTTAAAAAATTAATAGAACATTTTTCTACATGCATTTTTTAAAAATTAATGGAACATGTTCCTACATCCATCACTTTAATGAATAAAACATGTTCCAACATACATTTTTTAAAAATTAATGGAACATGTTCCTACATACATTTTTTAAAAGTTAATGGACCATGTTCCTACTTACATTTTTAAAAAATTAATGGAACATGTTCCTACATCCATCACTTTAATGAATAAAACATGTTCCTACATACATTTTTTTTAAATTAATAGAACATGTTTCTACATGCATTTTTAAAAATTAATGGAACATGTTCCTACATTCATCACTTTAATGAATAAAACATGTTCCTACATACATTTTTTAAATCGTGATGAAACATGTTCCTACATCATTTTTAAATTGATGAAACATGTTCCTAAAGCATTTTTTTAATGGATGAAACATGTTCCTACATGCATTTGTTGACAGATAACAGCAAACACACCAGACAAATTTGAACAATAGGCCTGTGGGAATTCTGGTGGGGGATATTTATTCTCCCCTGACAATTCTTTCTCAGTTGGCCGCAAATACACACAACAGAGTAACCCCCGTCTCAAGAAAATCGATAACAAAAGCTTTATTTCTTAAAAAATAACATAAATTATAGGTCATGGTTAGTTGTACAATGTTATAATAAATATTAATAATAGAAAAAATCTTACGATTTATTTGCGGATGATAAAGGAGTAACTTTTTGTTGATCAGTATTGAAATACGTTTTTAAAACTTCTGAAATAAATTACAGTTGAATATTTAACGAAATTCACTAATTCTTCATATGAAAATATTCTTGTTTAACTTTAATGGTTTCACAATAAACGAAAGTGTTTTAGGCTCTGTCCCTGGAGAACAAAGAAATGGGGGCTGAAATTATTAGATTTGGGTGTCTCCAGTAGGGGATTTTAAGTTGAAGACGACATTACACGGAGGTCTTAAAGTTAATGGTTAACACTGGCCCCAGGCAGGGTTCGAGGATGTTGGGTTATCATACGAGAATCAAAGTATAAATATTAACAATATGAGAAACATGTAGTTTGAACGAATGATAGTTACTAGATTGATTGATTGAAATAAACAGATGTAATATTACAAGATACATTGATTAATACTGTGTTTAACAGGCGGATAATTGATGGAACAATGGAGTAAAATGACTTCCTGTTGAACATATTTCTGTAATTTGATTGCCAGGATGATTTTTTTTTGTAAAAAAAAGTAAGAATTAACAGCAAACTGAGACTGAACTGAGATCTCGATCATAAATTAAAATAAAGAGTTAAACTGCAAGGATTAATTAAAACATAAAAGGTCATTAATGATTCAATAAATTAACAAGTGATTATATCAAAGTCAATAATCTTCAATTTTAATGTTCTTTATTCAGTATATTTTTTTTTATTAATTATTTTTTTAGGAAAAATTTTAAGTAATTTGAATTGAAATGTTTTCCAGTTTGGTTTCTAAAAAAAAGGAAATTAAAATGTTTAAATAGTTGGTTCCTGCGATGAAGCTTGGAATGGTTCTATTGATTGATTGCGTTGAGCTCTGGGAGGAATTAGTCCTGTGCAGGCTCCGGCCTGGAGCTTGGGGCTAAATTCCTTGCTTCTGTGTCCTAGGTTAAGCTGGGTACCATTTCTTGAGGACACTGAGCTTCTAAGTTTATGAACAGGTACAGTTGGTTGAGGTGTCTGTCCACTACTATTTTACGTCCACCTACTTCACCACGATAGCTGATAGTGGCGCCATAGACGTCTCTGTTCTTTCTACTGAGGAGCTGCTCTACTCTGGCAGCTGAGAATGGGTTCTTGTATATAGGTTCATTCTTAAACAGGACTATGTCTCCGACCTGAGGGAGGTTGCCCTGGTCCTTCCAGGTGACGGTGAATTTGCATCTGGTATACTCCTGCTCCCATAATGAGTGGAACAAGTTGAAAACGACATTCCACCTGGAGATCTGTTGATTGATGGATGCTGTAGGGTTGACCTCTTCTCCAAAACACCTCTTGAAACCCTTGGAGAAAGTGGTTGGGAGTGAGGGTGATGCCAAGTGGTGATCCGAGGATCAGTGGTCTGTTGTTAAGTTTTTCAATGACTCCATGCATCCAGGTAAGCAGTTCCTTGTCCTCCATGATCAGCTGGTGTGGTC